TAACTAGTTCACAAAATTAAATACATATTTGTATTATGCTTATAGTATAAAGAGTATGTCTAACCACGTAGAATTGTGATGTTTATATCAAAATGAATAAAAAAATTGTCTTTCTACTAAATTAAAATTGATGAAATCTGCTCAAAAGTAATTATATATAAAGTAGATGATAATTTATATTCTATTTTATAAGCAAAACAAGTTGATTTTGGGACACAATGATGCATACTGAAAACACTGTCATGAAGAACCCGTTAGTTTTGCTAATGTCACATCAGTCCCAGTAGACCCAAAGGTTCAGGCTGCATCTTCTTGTCACCAGGTCAGAGACTTTGGGAAGGGGAGAGGGGTGGTGGTCAGCTAGGTGTCGAGGCTGCTTGGTATGGTGCACAGCTGATCCAAGGGTCCCAACAGAACCACCATAACCAGCATGTGGTCATACGAAATACATAATATTTTGTTTAGGCAATAAAATGAATCAGAGTTGATCTCCTTAGAGTTTTGTTCATTACAAAATAAATGTAAGTAGGAGTTTAAGATAATATGTATAGATTCCCAAAAGAAATCACCTAGATATTACAGAGACAGTGTACTAAAATATTTATTACCTATTTTTGAATATGATTTGAAAAGTTATTTGCTTTTATGTAGCGAAATAAATTGGCAAACTAGGAGTAACTACAGCCTCTGTAATAAAAAACTAGTTAAACATTTCAGGATTTTGATCCTTACTGTCATCTTACAGATGATTTTTCTTTGTAAGAAGACGGGAAACTTCATTTCATCTTCAGGCCAAAAACTTTGTGTATTTGTTTATGTCCTACTGCCAAAAATCACTTCCTGTGTCCTAGGGTCACCATAGAATTTTGCCCTGTAATTTACTAAATTCTGTGCAAAACATTTTAAAAAAAAGATGTGAGAATTTTATAAGCTTGTTTCTAGAATTAAGATTAAAGATTATGTAAGACTATTAATTTTTTAAGAGAGAGGCTGCGCAGAGAGTGTTCAGGTAATAGTGACTTTCAAGTACATTGTTTCCCCAGAGAATTTTAATTATTTTTTTTGTTACTTCTTTAATATGTCTTACCAGGAACTCTTTAATGTAGTCTCTGCAATTCATTTCTGTAGAATTATTTTAAACACAAAATACTCTCACCAATATAGGGCCTACATACATGATGCTTCCACTCACGTAGAATTATTTTAAACACAAAATACTCTCATTAATATAGGGCCTACATACATGATGTTTCCACTCACATGTACGTACGGTGAGAAACTCAGTCTATTCAAGTGTTTGATTAGAGACAGTAAGTAGCAAAGTACATGCACAGTCATTGTAAATCACTGAGAATGATGAAATTCTCATCAAAAAAGATGTGCTTCTTACTCTCTAGATATTATTACTGTGGTTCTAAATTGAGAACATTTACACGTGAGATGCTGAGGATGTGCTGCCGCCTTGTCCTCCTTGCCACTTTGACAAACATAATTTTTCAACATAAGTAGTCGAAAGAGGACATTTTTCTTGGGGTTACCATGTTGCGGAAGAAACTACAGAGGAGGAGAGGTGGAAGCTAGGATGGTAATCTGTAATAGGCAGAGGAAAGCAAGCCAGTATTTTCATATCGTAAATACAGTTGAGGGTTGAATGAAGGAAGAACTAAACCAGGGATTTTGTGTGTGTGTGTGTTTTCAGAAAATTATTTTTGCTCATTTCTTGCATAAAAATACGCCATAAAATGGTTAGCTGAATTTGAAACAGCTAAACAGTCCATAAACTACTTTCCTTATTATTGTTTTTTCTATACTGTAATGTGTTGTGGATGTTTCTGTGGTGGCTAAGGTCAGGAATTAAGGGACAATTTCACTTCTGTCTCTGTACAGCTCTAATCCTGAAACTTCATGACCAGTGTAAATGCTGAAGTTTTCTGTGCATGAGATCACCACGCCATGTTAGTTAGAAGTGTGCCATCTTGGTTGACGTGGCTGTCTCCTTTGCAAACATAAATCAATATTCTGATTCTATGATACAAAACCTTACGGCATTGTTTGTCATTGTTTAATACTGCAATTTTATTAAACTGTTCTTGGAACCATTTTGTATCAGAAATAATGTATGAGAATAAGGCAGATTAAAATGTTGTTATTATTAGTATTATTTTAGATGCCAACAGGCTGTGTATAAATAGGCAATGAACTATTAACATTACTAAAAGTCATGTTAAACCGAGTGACAAAAATGCATTTTAGGCTATACTGAATTAAATTTTCATATAACTGTCAGCAGTCTGGCATATTTATAAGCCTACATTAGCAAAGAATAGAATAATCTTTTCTACAAACTAGGAAAATATCAGTGCCCCATCATTCTAAAAAAAATAAAGCAATATTAATAATAAAAACTGATTTCAAACCTCAGATCTAATGTTCTGTCACTATTTTATTTTAACTTTTTTATTGAAACACTGATTCAGATAAAGGATTGTGTGAAACCCCCTGGCTTAGGGGGAGAAATTTAAATACAAGTGTATACACAGGGAAAAACAAAAAGAGTCTGTGCTAACATCTGAGTTCAACATCTTTGATTTAATGCTTAGATCACAGGGGACAGATATGAATAACCAGGCTGATGCATATTAAACTAGTTGGAGCTATTTTTAAGTCAATGGTTTTGTTCCTTCTGTACTCATTAGAGGAAGAAGAAACTAACTGATCTCATGGCCTTTGGGATGATTTTCAAAACACTTTAAATTAGCATAGCTTAAATTAGAAAATATAGCAAAGAATTCTGTGAAGGGTTTCATGTAAGAAGAGTAAGAAGTAAGTGAAGGAAAAAATAAAGTAATTCTGCATGAATCAAAGAGAGTAGAAAAATGAGGACACTTCACTTGTGTTGAAAAATTCTCCAACAAATGCGATATTGAATGATTATATAGTATTTAAATAAAGGCAGACCATAAGAAAATTTGAGTTCTGGTGTTTAGACAATATTTGGTTTATTCTACATTACTTTAATGAGGCAGTCAACTGAATAGAGGGGAAAAAAGGTAAGAAGAGTTGCACATTTTGGAGTTCTAGATGCATCTGTAGTAAAAGACGTCAGGAGGAAAATATGGAAGTAGCTGTGGATACGTACACGACATCATATCAAAATGAGGAAACAATGAATGAGACAAAAGACAGTAAGGAAGAGATGTAGTCATAATGCATCAGAAAATCAGGCAGCAGGAAGGATTTCCTGGTAGATCAGTATGAAGATCAGAGAAAATTATTATGGAGAAGTAACCTTTAAATGTTATTTCACTTGTCTACTTAGGATTTTGTCTCTTCTGTATGTTTTAAATCAAGTCAGGCCCAAGCCCAGCATAGCTGCTTTTGTGTGCTCCTCCATGAAGTAGGATTGTTTATAAGGAAGAAGTTTAAGGAAGAGGATTAATCTGCAGCTCTTTCCTTACCCATCTTGGAAGCCAGGAAGACAAAAAGTTTTGAACTTGGTCTGTTTTCCCTAAGTTTAAGAAAACCCTAATGGGTGAATGAAAGCAAAGGGAAGGAGCGTGGGGGAGAAATTATGTTTTGTAAGAGCTAAATAAGAATGAGAATAGATTATTAGGAAGTGGGAAAGGAGATGGCTGGTTGGACGCATCAGGTTGTTTACTTGAAGAGAAGATTACAAATAAGATACGAAAGCAAAGTCAGGAGATGGAAAACGAGTTATGGGATCTAAAGGATTGTTTAAAATAAGATAAGCCTCAAGAAAAAAGGGAAAAGGGGAAGAGTTTAATAAAACAGTGGAATTGTAACAAAGCTATAAATCCTTTAGACGTGAGATTTAGATAAGGAAAAATAATGGGAAAATTACATTAGGGATGAATCATAGGAGGAAAACGTATCAGGTTTTAAGCACTTTTAAAACCCTTTAAGAAGAAGCTGTAGACTAGGAGTTCATTTTGTGCAAATGTTCATCCCCAGGTGTTCGTTACTTTTCAGACATTGAATTTTGACCTTGCATCGTTGGTCTGATGCAAGACAGCAATATAATCTTACAGCATTTATTACAGGAGAGGGATAGGATGACAGAACAGGCACGGGTATTTGTGTTTTAGTAAAAATCGTTATGTAAAGTTGGCTATTAACACATTAGTAAATATTTAGATATTTGTGTGATTATGTGTAAATGTTTGTAGATTTGAGAATAATTCTGAAGAGGCATCGATGTTGATTATACGTTTATCCTCCACAACTAGAGGAACCCAGCCTGGCAGGATTATTTGAAGAGCTTAGTCATATCTTCCTACTTAAGTCATAATTCCTACTTAAGAGCGTCTTAAAATAATTCCCAAATAAAGAGTCAGTGGCCACACATGTACAAGTGTAGAATGCACAGACACAGTTTTTGAGGTGTCCATATCTGACAGTGCTGACTTGCTTTTCTGGAAAAGTTCTAAATTCAAGCAATGTTTGCAAAGGCGTGTTTTATTAACATCTAGAGAAATGTAGTTGAGCTCACACATTGACCTGCTACAGTTATAATAAATGTATCTATCTTTAAAGTGCTGATTTTTATTTGAATGTTTATTCTTTTTCATCATAAAATAGTTTTCTTTCTTTTGAACAGGGAGGCCTACCTGCAACTGTGCGCTGGGTTTCACAGGACCAAACTGCAATAAGACCGTCTGTGATCGTTTTTGCCAAAACGGAGGAACCTGCAGTGTCACTGCTGGGAATCAACCCTTTTGCAGCTGCTTGCCTGAGTATACAGGGGACAGATGTCAGTATTGTAAGTAACAAATTCTCAAATATGGATTTCTAGTAAAAGTTCTACAAAATGGAAGTTTAACATGATTTGAGTGATTTTTCTCCAACATGCATTGGTAAACATAGCTCCAAAATGATTCATACTGCTAAGGGAATGGAATCTGATATATTCAAGTTGTCTTTGAACATATTTCCGCCATATCCATCTACATGTGTAGAAGAAAAGCTTTTTTAGGAATGATTTATTTTAGTATTTTCATGAATGAATACGTACAATGGAGTTGTACAAGATAGCAGATTTTGTTGATAGAAATGAGATAATTGTGTTAAGTTTCTCAGCTTCAACTTCTCATACTTGTTTTCTTATGCTGGTAGAATATGTAAATGTAGCAAATTGACATAGTTGGTTAAATTTGTCTGGTATCCTTTAACTTCACCAGCCATCACTTGTGTCTCCAGCTGCTACCTTACCTTTTGCTTTTATTTCTAACCCCAGTAGGCAGAATGTTGACTTCTGAGTTTCACGCCTCTATGTTCCTTCATCTTTCTCAGTCTAAGATCACCTTCAATATGGTTTCTGCCTCCTCCTAGTACTGAAAATTAGGGTTTTTAAGTATTACTTTTGTTTAATTCTCAGGACATAAGTTCTATCCTCTGTGTCTGAAGTTCTCCCGGGTTTGCCTTTCCACTGACCCATCAGTCTCCTCTCATTGAGATACTGTTTTCCAAAGGTTTCCATGCCTTTAGAAAGGCTCTTTTCACTTTTTAGAACTTTCTCTAAATTTTTACTTCTTTTACAGAGGAAAAGTGAAAGAAGATTATCAACCAGTAGGCCTTCTGTTCTTGGTCCATTTGTTTTTCTTTCTCCCATGCTTTCTTTTAGCGTAGATCACCATTAAGTTTTCCAGTGACTCGAGACATTTGAACATAATCTTGAATTTCTTCCATTGATCACTCATTTCAAAATTACAGTTTGTCTTCCTCATGCCTCTTCAACATGATGACTCACTGTCAGTTCTAGCCTAAAACTGATTATTTTTCTGAGATCAGAATTATTTTTTGATTTCCTTTTTTCTGCTCCTGCTTTGCTTTAACACTGTAAAATAGTGGACTGTCATACTGCTTGTGTAGAATAGAGCATTCAGTGTGAAAGCCATCATCTCTTTTGTACATAACTCAGTGAATTTGCTGAAGAAAGCTAGGTTTAAACAAAATTGAAGATAAATTAGCTCTTATAAAGGTGGGGTTTAGAATTATCTACATGATACAAAAAGTATTTTGCTTTAGTGAGAGATCTGTCAGACAAGGAAAGGGTTAGTGTGTATCTTAAACAGGATTTGTACTGAAGTAAAGTGAATGTATTTCCAGTTGGGAGACTGTGAAATAAATTGAAACCTTTGAACGGAAAACCAGCAGTAATTGTGATTCTTCCCCACTTGGTATTAAACAAACTGCATGGATCCACAAATAACTATCTACAAACACAATTGGGTATTTGAAAACAGTATAGTACATAAATCATGCACAGACAGACACACAGATTAAGAAAAAATATTTACTTGGGGCTTACCCAAAACCAAGTCAATTGTTTCTAGTTGAATGCTTCTGCAAACATCTCTTTTTTTTTTCTTTTTTTTTTCTTTTTTTTTTCTCCTTAAGAAGTAATTTAAATGTAAATTTAGGGGTACTTTTTAAACAGTGCTTATTATCAGATTTGGATTGTCTGCTGACACTTTGGAAAAATGCCGCAATACAGAGACTCGAAAACATTATAAAATACAAAACAAAATTAAGCTTTGCTTTATTTAAACCTTAATACTTTTACAAAAAAAAAAAGTGTCTGCAATCTTTTAGAGCATTTTTTTCTGTGGCCAATAACAGTTCTATGAAATTGTACAGTTTTACAGTTAATAATGAGATCTATGATTTTTGGCTTTATTCACACATATATATGATTTTTTGTGTTATTAATCAAATACACTTTGTATGCATGTTGGAATATATTAGTATAGCGTTACTGCAAAGTTTGTTTGCCTCTAAGATGTCTTTTTCTGTCTTTCTATGGTGTGATTGAAGCTAGTTCATATGCAAAGAATGATACATGAATGCACATAGGTATTTCCTTCATGCTCCCAAGCTGAAAATATTATTAGTGTTCTTTATGGCAGGGAGAAGGCATTTCCTTGCAGTATTGCCAGATTGCAAAGACCTTATTTTCCTCATACGTATCGTGTCCAATTACCCAGTGCAGAGTTTCTGCTGTGATTAGCTCACATAAGGGCTAATAATCAAAATGTGTGCTCCATGTCAAGGCATTGGCACTGCTGAAATAAATTTAAGCGGATGAATTTGCATAGAATTCCACTAACATTGTGCATGTTATTATATACACGTGTAGTTGATGTATCTGAATATAACTCTGTATTTTAAATTCCTGGAATAAGACATACAGGTTAGTTAAAGTTCATTTCTTGTATCATTTAAGGCCCAAACAACCTAAAAAATAGAAAATGCTTTCATGCAGTTACAGTCATTCAAAGTGAATATAGTGATCTTACAAGTTGTTACTTTCCCTGAAACTGAAATTCCTTTCTTCAGGGAAGGAAAAAAAAAAAAAAAAGGTGTTATTTCAGTCCAAATGTAGCATATGCATTTTAGATTAAAAGTGCTTGTGACTATAATCAATACGAAAAACCAATAATTGTCTTAGAGTATTAACTTCCTATTCCTAGGTTTTGGGGCATGGGGTTGTCATAATGTACATGGAAACATTTCCCCTTAGCAATGCTTTTCTCATAAAATGTCTGTCATTATTAGCTTTCAAACTATGGTAGTTTTTGTTCAAAACTCAGCTTTCCTGCTACAAATTACCCATCTGTGCCGTGAATCAAGGGACAGAAAACAATGAACTACTTCGTGTAGCGTCTCTTAAGCCTTTCTGGTTGCTCAGTAGTGATTCCATAAGTACAGCTTGTGTAGGTAGGTGGAGACACACAGTGAATAATCAAACAGAAATAAATCCTCCAGCAGTCCAGCTTTGTCCTTTAGCAGAAGCCTTCCAGCACGGCGAGTACCAATGGCATGGCAGTCAGTACACACTTCCCTGAGAGGGGGAAAAACTGAGCACAGAGAAGCAGAAGCAAAATGTTTCCCACTTTACGCGATACCCTCACAAATCGTCCATCTTGTATACAGTCGGTAAAATATATGAATTTTGGCAGTTTCCAATTTGCTGCTTACGGCGTGCCCCCAGTGAAACAGCAGCTTGAGGGCTGACACTTCCAGATTCAAGGCAGAAGTTGCCAGTCAGCCAAGGTGTCGTTCTCTAGGGAACAGCTTGATAACGCCCTACTTCTGGCTGCTGCTGACTTGCCCTCAGCCATAGCTTGTGCTTTAAAGGACATGAATTTTTTACTTTTGACAGATAGGTAATATTTTATTAATATGGACCAGTATAACTCTAAGCTAATACAGATGTGTAGTTCAGAATTGGTACATCTTATATATCAGTTACTTATCTGTGCATCAAGAACACCACCAAAAGCTCAATGCAACATATTAATTACACAGAACTGCAGAAAGCATTGACTTTTGACTTTGAAAGATTTGGCCCCATTAAGGAGCTTAAATGGTGACTTAAACCCCCAAACAAACCAAAAGAAAGTTGTCACTACCACGTAAATAAAAATTAATTTAAAGAGTAAGATACCGGTATTTTGTAGCTCGGGAAGCTCCTTCAGTCAGGCAACTTGTTATTTTTTTTAAAGTGATATGAAGTAAAAAAGAGTTTCTAGTGCTTCTGAAGAGTTAAAGGATTCACTACTTGACATCTCAGTCCTGCTGATGTTTAAGCAGTTAAATAAGATAATGGGGTCTTGCATAGTCTATAAAGATAAGCAAGTATGTAGTTTTTTGTAGAACTTATGGATTATGTCTTTATATATTATTATTATTAGAACTTAATGAAATTTTAATATGTGGATAAATGAAAATAAAACTTAATTATTTCAAAATACTGTTTCCATTTCAGTTTAGCATAATGTTATTAATGCTAATAAGAAATTATAAAAATATTTTCATTCAGCCAATGTCACATTAAATACATTAACATTACTCTGCTTTTCTCATCAGTAGTCTTTATATTCTGTGGGATGATTCCATAAATGGTTAGACATCTAGAAAGACAAAAAAAATCTCTTACGAGTTTATCGTTCTATTTCAGTTCTCAAGACTACATCATTAATATATTATGTATCTGTTTATGGGGTCTTCTTTATTCTTATAGTTGCCAGTGAGCCACCAGCTTCATTTATCATGTTGTTTTTATTATAGTACGTTTTAAAACATAGAAAAATAAAGTATTATTTTTTTATATGATACTCCTTAATATCTTTTAGTAATTAGCTTCCATGTTGCTTGCAGATGTTTGCCACCATTACTGTGTGAACTCTGAATCGTGTACAATTTCTGATGATGGAAGTGTAGAATGTGTCTGTCCAGTACGATTTGAAGGTCCGAAATGTGAAGTGGACAGGTGTGTCAGATGCCATGGGGGACGCTGCATCATAAACAAGGACAGTAATGACGTAGTGTGCAAGTAAGTGTGTGTAGGGGGGGTGATTGCATACAAAAGAGTTCATTTGTGTGGCTCCTGCCCACGCAAAACCCACTGGCTCCTGCCTTTTAAACCAACTTGGAGCACTCCTCACTGGAGGAAGCGCAATGTAGCAGGAGACTCAATGGGTCTTCACTTGGAAAAAATTGAATATTTAATAAAGTTAACAGCTGAGTTTTTACCACACTGTTGAAATTTGTTTGTTCTGCAGTATCTGTGGCAGTGGTAGAGGCAGATTGTATACTAATGAAAGCATATGTAATAAGATGTGCTGCTGTATTGGTGAGTGATTATTTTGTATAATAATAGTTTCTTTTCATAAAAGGAAAGATTAAAAATATTTTGTCTAATAAGCTTGCCACCTATGCCAGCCTTTCAAAGTAGAAATTCTTGCAATCAATAGATCTTATATATAACATAAAATCAGTATTTTAATGTTTAGCTAATTATAAGGAAATTCACCTGGTATAATAAAATACTGATTGTTAATTGTATTTTTTTGTTTAACCATGACAGTTGCACTAATGGAAAGATTGCCTCTACCTGTCAGTTATGTGACGGCTACTGTTACAATGGTGGTACGTGTCAACTGGACCCAGAGACAAATATCCCCGTCTGTCTGTGAGTATCCCGCACTGCGTAGAGCATTAAAATACCTGTGTGCCAACAAATAATACAATTATTATGCATGTATCTGTATTTTTGATCTCTCTAGGATGTATAATGTGCTGGTTGCAGTCATAACTTAGAGTACTTTCTCTAGCTATTTCTGTAACCCAATCCTTTGTCTACCTTTTTGCAATGTGTGTATTGGAATATATAACTAAGGTATATATTGTGAATGCACATAGGTACAACAATATATCTTTTGAGGCTTCTAAAATTTCAAGCCAGATCTAAAACCCGTTTAGGTATTTGTTCTGGAATGGAATCCAGAGGTACAGGATGGTTGCCTGCCCTGCTTCTCCAAGGTGGATTCAGTCTTTTCTCCTAAACAGATGGTCAGAGATGGGGGCTGTACACTCCTGTAAGGAACCTGATGGCTAGAGATTAGGAAGAATAATGTCAGCGTTTATCTCCTTTATGGGTCTGAGGATATGCTCGTGTATCTCTTGTTTATTCCCTAACCTTCATTCTGCCCTCAGTAGCTTGGCTGTTCTGTGGTGAGACTGCTCTCTTCCTCCTGCACCATTGTTGAGAAAATAATTCAGGATGCTTTTCTTCGGCCCAGACATCAGATACCAAAGGAAGTATGATTCTCTAGTTTAGATGGTGAAGTACTGTCTTAAGAGGTAGAAAAGCCTACATTGCTAGTCCTTTCTTGAGAGCTATGGTGTATCGTCTTTTTCAGCTGATAAATATAAAATAGAGAAGTAGTCATTGTATCAAGAAATTAATTTCTTTCCTGCTCTCAGCTACACCGAGCTACCTAGTCGTACTCCAGGGTTTTTTTTTCATTTTAGCCTAATAAATGATCCAATCTTTCCTGCACTGCAGAAAAGCTGTATTGCGGATAGTCTTCCACTTCTCAGGACAATTTAGAGGTCAGAGTATCCTCCAGGAACATATGGAGAGAGACTTTGAAGTTGGGAAAGAGACTTTGACTTGAGTGTGTCGTTTCCAGAGTGACATAAGTAGTTATTGTCCAAAGGGATCTGGCGTTCCAACTTTGTAAATACAGATACAGCCATCCCTTCATTTTGTTGATGTGTATGAGGCAGGTGATGTTAAAGGAGAGTGCCCGTTGTATTCAGACTCTCAAGGAAGTTGCACAGAGAAACGCCTAGATTTTGTAGGCTAACCCATGTAAGAGACAGACCAACCGTTCCTCCCCGTGAGAACTCGAGCACTTCTGAATATGCAAAGGGGCAGAACTGTTATGGTTGTACTATTGAAAAGAAGGTGTCGATAGATGCTTGCAGCTTTGGGGATAGAGACAGGAGTGTGGATCTACATGGAAGTCTTTACTCAGATGAGAATGCTTTAAGTGCCTATGGTTTTTTTTTCATTATTATTTTGATCCAGCCCTTTTTATCTGTTATTTGTATCTCCTTAAATGTCTTTAGTTGAGGACTAGGGAGACTCATAATTCTCAGCAAAAGGACAATATCACAGCTATAATATGTAAAACCCTCTTGATTCATTAGCTTAAACACCTGGAATGACTATTTTGGAAACATGTGATTTTTCCTTTCTTTTTCCTTACGAAACTGACTGCTGCTTTTTCAAATTCATATGGAACACCATAGCATCTCAAGGAAAAAGAGAGTTTCATACCTTAATTTGTGTATCGATTTACAATACATAAATGCTGCAACATATGCCAACGTTGTTAACAACGCTAAGAAAATGGTCGTGAACATTTTTAAAGGCCATTGCAATCTGGATCAATCAATACAAATGTATTATACATTTGACAATAATGCTTCCTTAAGAATGTTAGATTCCTGAACCTATCAGTTAGCATAGGCCCATTGTTTTAAACGTGTTTGATCAATGCTAATGAGCAAACTTTTACGTATAGTCAGCTTGGACCTTCCCTGAAAAAACAGTATTAATTTTGTTATCTTTGGGTGTGTGCCTGTGTATGTGTGCGTGTCTTGCCATCATTGTGTATAATGCGTTTAAATCTGTTCAGCAAAAGGCAGAATATTTATATAGGTCTATTTTACTGAAATTCTGCAGATGCTCTGTGGGGTTTAAAAGTCAGCGCTGTGACCAGAAAGTGAACCCTTGTGATTACTACTGTCAGAATGAGGGAATTTGCACTTTAACTGCGTTTAATGAACCGAGATGCAAGTAGGTTTAACCTTCCACTTAATGCTGCACATTCTGTGACATCATTTCAGGCCACGGTTCATTGGTTCAAGTCATGCACATTCACATACATTTCACAATATATACTCAATCTGGGGGCTCGTTTCTATAATACACACCCTTTAATAGTTGCACTGATGAGTGTATTTAAACATACTTTGGGAATATCTGTATCATTGGAGAAAGAAATAAAAACCTTTATTTTTAGTAAGTGAATTGAAAATACTGAAAATGCCGCTTGGCTTTTATTGTTCACATAAAGTTTAGCAAACAGCAACGTTGCGTATGTTCTGTAGTCCAAACATGACTTCCTATTTCTTATCTGTGCAGGGAAAGGAACAGAAGAGATGTTTAGGTACTACTTCAGGAGTTACACTTGTATTCAAAAATCTCATTATTAACTTCATCGTAATAATGCTGTAAAGTAGAAATATGTGAGCTACTTCATAACTTTGACTTCTTCTCTGAAAAAAAATTTATGAAATAGATACGTTTGTATGCTGTATTTCTGTAAAGGGTTTAAAGTCCCTCATCAGGGAGAGAAACAACCTTAGTCTTTGAAATGCTGTAAGGCAGACATACAGAGAGATATGAAATACCAGTCAGATACAAAAGTCAGAGTGAAATCATGAGCCAAAGACCTAGACGTGGGCTAAAATATGAGACTGGAACAGTTTTGAACTTATGTCACCTAAAGAAGTGGTTTATGAAAACATAAAATGCTGTGGGGATGTGATGTGCTTGTCTGGTGGGTAGTAATGGCAGTGACCAGGTAAGGTGAATAATCTATTTTTTAAAAAAATACAATCACGGTTCCTTTGTCAGCATTTTCAAGCAATGAAACTCTATGACTTGAGCCATCATAAATCCGTTGGAAACAAGATTAGTGTTCTGACTACTGCTTCTTAACCTTTGAGGAGTATGAAGTGAGTCTGTTGATGAGTGTTTGCACGGGACATGGTTGCTTGGAACAGTTTGTATCTCCATGTGTCATGCTTGGGTTTTCAGAAAAATGCAGCCGTAAGAGCAACCTTTTCCTGCCTAGGTTATGTATTGCAAGTACCTTTTCTCCCTTTTCTCTAAAATGCTCTCAAGAAAGTCACAGTGCAAAATTTCTTGTGAAACATCCTGATAGATAAAATAGTCTAATAGTCACTTCTGAATTTTACATACTCTCTTTCACAATTCTTAAGAATGTGTTAACTATTTAAACTGTAAAAGTTTATATTTTTATTTAATTATGGATTTTTACAAAAAATATGTAAAATAATTGTGTGGAGGTTTTATTCATTATGAAATTTTATAGCCAATAAAGGTTAATTTGTTTCAACTGGAGTCAAAACTAACATATACTGGCAGTAGGATTTCAGCAAAGTTAATTGAATTAGGAACATTCTCAGTAGTGTTGATGTTTATTTTTGTGGCATTGCCTGTTCTCATGATCTTTTGATCTGCTTTAACTATATTTACTATCAGAATAAGAAAAAGTATTAAAAACAAGGGTTTTCAATAATATTTGATTCTCGCTGTTAGTCTTTGGATTGACAACATGAATTTTAACCTCTCAGAGCTTCTATGTGAAGCAAGAGGCCAACAATGGCAAGAATTCATGCTAGCAAAAAAGGTATCGTAGGATCTCCAGGCCCAGCAATCCTTTCTCCCTACTTGTCTAAGTGCGTAATTGAAAGAACTGTGGAGATGGATTGCCAGAATAGGAACTGTGCTGAAAAGCTGTTCTGCCAAACACTTCTTCCATCTCAGCCAGACCCAATACACAGATGAAGACTTTTTTTTTTCTTCCTTCAGATACATTTGAAGCCATTGCCCAGTACATGCATTGGTCGAAGTTTGGACTCATCTATAGAAAGTGATGAAACAGGCTTCAGAAATCCAAGGGAAAGTATTAGCTTTCTAGGACAAAGTGAGGCTCTTCCTTTCTTTATGAAAGATATAATTACAGAAAGGTGGAAACCAAAGGGTTAAAGAGGACAGAACAAAGAAAAAGGAAAAACTTGACTTGTGCAAAGGTGGTATTAGTCTCCATTTTCTTCCTTCCAAAGAGTAAAACGCTGATACCCAAAGGACAATTTTGTTGATGAAAGCTGTGGTTCCTCCCTTTGAGAAGGTTGCCTTCCACAGAAAAGATGAGAAAGAAATTGCAACGTTTTGAACATAGTGATTAACTGATGTTGCTTACTTGTTATTTACTCTTACTGTGACGGTATTCCCAAGACTGCTTTTATGAGGCAGGAGAGTGAATAATCCAAGCTCAAGTAAAAAGAAAAGCACTAAAGCACGTCAGTAATATAATGACTTTTAGTGGAACTGAGCTGTCCTTTTGCTTTCCTCTTGGTAGGGTTCTTTGAATATAATTTGGGATTTATTTATTTTTTTATTAAATGTATTGTAAGATGGAAAAGGCGAAACATGTAAGAAAAGAAGGTGGTAAAGAAAGATTAAATTCAAGTTTCTCTTCAGTGTGAAGAAGCATTTCAGGTAAATTGGTAATCAGAAGTTTAAGTTTAAAGGAATCCTTAGTAGATAATGAACTTCTTCACATTCAGAATATACACATCGATAGAACTAGTTTTCCTGTTGTCTCTTTCAATCGGTTGTTGAGTTAGTACAGCCACCACTGTCCATGTGTAGGAATTGGTGAGACAATCCTCTAAATTGTTTCTTTCTTACAAAGCCAAGGTGGCTCAGAGGAAAGGGAAGAGAAGCAAATAGCTGTTTGATGGAGTTGAAGACAATTCCAGTGATAGAGAGGAAGAAGGGTAACTCCGTATGTCTCAGTTCTCCTT